GCAACCACCTCCTCAAAAAGAAGGGAAAGTATTTTTGCATCATCCCAAAATCTTCTCCAGGAGGAGTGTGACATTGATGACTTTCTATTTTTGACTCTCAGTTCCCCTTGGGGTTATTAATACATTTGCTAACATTTTTTTATGCCTTACTCTTTCTTCATGGATCAGCAACTCCACATTATGTATTTAGTCTATATAAGGTTTGCTTTACATATGCTAAATACGTTCCTTGCTCTTCTAACTTGTTCTTTGTTCTATTTGTTTGTCTTAAAATATTTTTGTCCAGCTCTCAGGTCAGTTTTGTTGTTATTGTTGTTGTTATTATTTTTTATGACCATTGCTGAGTTGTTTATAAACTTGAGCTATACTCCCCTAAACCACATTATTATGCTAAGGTCAGAAATATTTCATTCTACAAAGAATAATTACTTGTTACTACTACCTATATAAAAACGATGCTTATACCACAAGATGCTACAAATATAGGCAGAAGTAAAACAAATTGGGCAATAGCCACCTGGTCATTAGAAAAACTGCTGTTGCAGTTAAACAAGCTGAATCAAAGCTCCAGGCAGGTACATAAAGTTGAGACAAGGCCTGAGAAAACTTGCTCTTGAGGCCTGGTAGAGTTGCTTCAATGTCTGCAACTTGTTACTAGCAATAGTAATACTGGGTTAAAGGGCTACAATAACAGTTGAACAAACATTCCTATATAGCTTTTTGTCTCTTTGTCTTATTATATCTTCTCATTAGCAAATTGACTGACTATGAATTTGAGCATTCAAAAAGCTTGAAAATGTCTATTCTTTTGGTTCTGCACTGCAGTTACTCTGGGTATATTCAGTGGTGAAAGTTCTCGTTTTAATATTATCATAGAATTTGAAGTCCCGGCTGTTTAAGCCAGAGCAAAATCACCAAAAGTCCAAAAGTTCAAGGAGAGAAGAAGCAGGCAGAAACCTCTGGGGAATGCTCCTAATGTAAAATAAAAGCAAGAGGTAGAAAATGAAGAAGCAGTAGTAGCTGAGTTTAGTGGCTTGGGTAGAGTTTATATTTCCTGAGAAAATTGAGAAAACTCTGGTTAGGGCCTCATCCTTACCTCTTGTGTGGATTACAAAGCCCTATTTTTCCTTGTCTTGGAATCTGGACTGAGGACCTGGATTTCCACAGAAGTGTTGGTGTGCACCACTGCAGAAGTGCACACAGGGTTCTCACACAGTCTCAGTGCTGCTCTATGCGTCGTGACTGGGGATTTGAAAAGACATCATGCTAACAGACAGCCAAGATGTCAAATGGCTAACAGACAAGAAGATGTGAAGAGTACAGGCAGTCAATGAGTATTAAAAAATAACATATTTTGGAATCAGGGGAAGTAGTAGCAATATTTGCTTCCATACTAATAGAGGTACATTTATCCCTACCCATTAGGATAGAAGGAGCAAGACACTTGTAAATACCACTGCAGATAGCACTATTAAACTTAAGCTTATCT